CACCCGCCATGTACGTCGCCATTCAGGCTGTGCTCTCACTGTACGCCTCCGGTCGTACCACCGGTATTGTGTTGGACTCTGGCGATGGTGTCTCACACACAGTACCCATCTATGAAGGTTATGCCCTGCCTCATGCCATCCTCCGTCTGGATTTGGCTGGTCGCGATTTGACTGATTACCTCATGAAGATTCTGACTGAGCGCGGCTACTCGTTCACCACCACTGCTGAGCGTGAAATTGTGCGCGATATTAAGGAGAAATTGTGCTATGTTGCTTTGGACTTTGAACAAGAAATGGCCACTGCCGCTGCCTCGACCTCATTGGAGAAATCCTATGAATTGCCTGATGGTCAAGTGATTACCATTGGTAATGAACGTTTCCGCTGCCCCGAATCACTCTTCCAGCCCTCATTCTTGGGTATGGAATCGAGCGGTATCCACGAGACCGTCTACAACTCCATCATGAAGTGCGATGTGGATATCCGTAAGGACTTGTATGCTAACATTGTCATGTCTGGCGGTACCACCATGTACCCAGGTATTGCCGATCGTATGCAAAAGGAAATCACTGCCTTGGCGCCATCCACCATCAAGATCAAGATCATTGCCCCACCAGAGCGTAAATACTCCGTATGGATCGGTGGTTCTATCTTGGCCTCCCTCTCCACCTTCCAACAGATGTGGATCTCGAAACAGGAATACGATGAATCCGGCCCCGGCATTGTCCACCGCAAATGCTTCTAAACGCTCAAACAAGAGAATCAGAAAACTGAGGGCTTTACAGCTCCCCCCTTTGCTATGTATTGTATTTGTTTTATTTGTAAACGTTTATTACTTTATTTTAAAATTAATTATGTATGTAAATATTTTTTATAAGAACAAAGATGTAGCAACAACAACGGCACTAGATATACCAAAGATTATAACACTATTGAAAAATACGTATATATGCGAGGACACTAAAGAGAAAAAACACTACAATGAAAATCCCACGAAAAATAAGCAATTATTGAAAATATATATGTACTTATACACCTATAATTTAATTGAAATCTACAAACACTAAAAATGCGTTTTTATTTGAGGGGGCAAAAAACTACAACAAGAGTATGAGCACTCCATTAGGAACTTAGAAGAGGAACAAATAGCGTTCCAATGCATATAGGAAAATACCTTCATATATTAAAACCATACATCTCCATTAAGCAGCAGTATACAACCCCCACACACGGCAGCTAAGTACTCGTGTATGTATCTAGATAGCATAGCCATAAGTCCATTAGTACGCTGAAAATAGACGCTTAACAGCAAAAATAGCAGCGCCTTTCCTCCGTTCGACGGCATTCGAATGCCAGCCACCTGCACAAACAGCCGAAAGACGCCCGCAAATGCAGCCACGAAGAGATCGCGCATAAGTAGGGTGACCATATTTATGAGAGCCGAATACGGGACAAAAAATAATTTTGCAAATTTTTTCCACACTGAAACAGTATCTTTATCATCGCAAATTTGTAGGATAATTTTCTCGAAATTTTTACCGCGTAAAATTTGTTAAAAAAATTCGTAAAATTTCGGTAAAATAAAGAGCAATTTTAAGTCGGTAAGGCTTACCACTGATTTTGGCAATTTTTTTTTATATTGACAGTGTTACACTTTTTTTTCATACAAAGAAAGTATGTTCGACCATTTCTTTTTTAAGAGAAACAAATGAGCAATTTTAATGAGTTACAAAACTGCAAACAAAAATTGTTTCTAAAAATTCTAATTAAAAAGTTTGAAATTTTGGCGAAACATTGCAGAATTATTTTTTTGCACAAAGTTGGAAAATTGGTATTATATGGTTTTTGTTAGGAAAAGACCTTTACTTTCATAAAATAAATAATAAACATTAAATAAGCGTGCCATTTTAATGAGCTGTTAAGGCGTCGGAACACCGAATACGGGACAAATACAGGATGTTAAAGAAATACAGATCATTTGGCGTCCCGTATAAAATATAAAAAAATAACCAGGACAATGGGTCAAAAAAGAGAACTGTCCCGTATAATACAGGACGGATGGTCACCGTACGCACAAGGTGTATCCGCTCGTACCAAGTTTCTTCCATATAAAGCTCGTTCGCTTCTGCTACGTTTGCTGAGTGATTCACCCGCCTTCGACAGTTTAGTTAATCTTCGTGTTTATATTCTATGTTCGCCCACGGTGTGTGATTTATATCTTCAGTTGTCTACCCCATACATCTACTACAAATAAATATTCAAAAATATGTTTGAGGTTTCTAAAAATATTCCATCGACATATTCGTACCTACACTAGCGTAGAGAAAAAGCATTATGTGTGTTTGTTTGGTTGTTTAGTTGCTGAAGCATTCGCATATTTAAAAACTTATTTTCCATTTCTGGTCAGACACATGTTGTACATAATTTGCAAATATATTGTAAACACTTTTGCATATCGTCCTTAGAAATTTTGTGCAAATTCATTAAAGATTTAGTTGCTATAGTGAAGCTAAATATTTCAGTGTATGTAAACAGGGCCGAATTTAAGGACAGGCTACATAGGCGCCAGCCTAGGGGCCCGCACTAAATGAAGAATTAAAAATAAATAAAAAAGGAAGAAAAATATATAAAAAAGTAAAAACATATATACATATTTACAATTTTTAAAAAAGTAGGAGGCTCTGAAAGCGGGTCAATCAAACACATGTTTTCTTTCTTTCGTTTTTTACCCATGGCGAAATAAACAGGTGAAGTAATAAAAGAGCTTCCTCTCTTTATTTTCTGACATTAGGCTGCCTTATAGTGAAATCTTATAGGCAAACTTTCAAATAGGGCTCTCATTTGACTGACTGAGGCGTGCGCTGAAAAACAAATAAGGCCGTCGAATGTGACTCCCAAGATTTTCGGATCGTTGACCGTCGGTATCCTGTGTTCATCGACGTGGACGTCCAGTTCCAGCCTGACGTCCTTAGTCCAGGTTAGTGGAAAGTGTGGCGGTGGATCTTCCTAACGCAGGGTCGACGTTGGTTCATACCATCGCTCATCTGTGTGGTCATGGCATTTAAAAATGTATTTTACCATGTTGGTGTTCGGCTAGTTTCAAATACTTCGTCCGCCTGGGGGTTGTTTTTGCCACTAGCGAAAGGAGGAATATGGGCCGATATGAGTCTCCTGCGTTCGCCTTGTTCCCAGTCTTGAGAAGGGGAATGATCCTACCTATTTTTCATATCTCGGGGATGATCAGGGTGGACAGTGACAATTTGAAAACTGACTGCTAAAACTGCTGCCCACAGTTTGCTTGCCCCACTGGAGAGATTGCAGGTCTTAAGATGATCTTTCCACGTTTTCCGCTTAAGTTCATTGATAAGTTTACTAAAGTCCTTATTGAGATCCCTGATACGGATTAGACTGGCGGATTAGATCACGCACGTGTGCGAGTCCCGCCGGATATTGCGCACAACTACTCACGCGTATGTTCGCAATGGAAGAGCTTTGAATATGTGGTCGGCATGTTCCCGGAAACAGTCTCAATTATAGCGCTCTTCCACGATATGTATTTTCATATGTAAATGTTACTTTTCGGATACGTTCCAATATATGGTACATACGAGTAGATACAAAAAAGTAGCATTTACATATGCAAATTCAAACACCATATAAATTCACATTTCAAACTTTGTACAAAAATTATAAAAATTCTGCAAATCTTCATCAAAGTTTCAAACTCTTTTAATCAGATTATTTAGAAAAGAGTTTACGGTTTTCGGATGTGAAAAAATCTCACGGGCGTCAATAGCGATTACTATGGACAGGTGATCTGATGCCAGCGTTAGCACTGATTACCATTCAATGTAATTTATCAGACACCTATTTCTATAGTCATTGCTGACGAAAAATTTTTAAATTTCGATGAAAATTTCTGGGTATTTCTTCTGCAATTCGCATGTATCTTCATTTATTGTGGATGCTTTCTTCCTTCAGTTTATGATTTGGAAAAATTAAAAAACCTGTATGTACGGATTTGCACGAATACACGTATATGAGTTAAAGTTAATAATTTTGTTTTTAAATATATTTTATTTGTATATTTCATTAAAAAATATATATGTATATTTATATTTTAACAATAAATCTATATATTAATACACTAAATTAAATATAGGTAAATATTGTATATTATTTAAAAGTATGTATATATGTTATTAAGTACATATATGTATATATATGTATGTATAAATGTATTTTCAGAGTATATATTGGGTAAAAGTATGTTGTGTTTTTTTCGGGATTGATCAAAATATTATTGCGACCATTAATGCCAATTCCGATCATAGTAAAAGGATTTGCTATAAAATAATACTCATATTTTATTTTAAGAATAGATTAATTACTACCACATAAATGGAAACTTTGCTTGTACATAAGCAAGTAAGCATGTACATTAGGGTGGCCCAAAATTTTTTTCTTCCAGCCACCCCCCAGATCTGAAGAATATCAAAAATAAGGAGACTTGTATTTTTTCCGAAATCGATTAATATTTACCCTTGCCACCGGGCCTTTGAAGTTTCACATGTATTTAACATGAGGAAAATATTTTTTTTTTTCACGAAATCGTTAAAAACAAATATTTTTGATCGAATAAGAGTATTTCCATTCAGAAGTCTTCAAAAAATAACACTATGATGCTTTTTTAACTTAAAAATTTTACTAAGTGTATTTTATTAACAGATAATATTATCTGTTTTTTATATACATACAAAAATTAGTTATTAAACATTTTAATGACCACATCAATGAATGTGTGTAATTCGTGTTTGCATTCTACTCGATGTTTTCTGTAGGTTCGTGGTAGAAAAAATTTTGAAAAATAGGGCTGCCAGATATTTGAAAATTTAAAATTAATTGAAGGTCAATAAAATATTTAAGTTTCTTCATCAAAACTAAAAGCGTTTGAAGACATTTCAAAATATTGTTGAACGGGGTTGCCACCTTTCTAAAAAAAAGAAAAGAACAATGAATATTAAAAATTTAAACTTTTTAAATACCACAATATGTATAAGCTTTGGACTAACATGTTTCTAAACAGGGTTGCAACCCATCTCTCAACTAAGATGAGGTAATTACGTAAGTTAAGTGAAATGATGCAATATGCATTTTTACACATTCGATAGTTAATGTCTTAGATATGTGCGAACTCTATCCAGAAATATGTAGGTATTAAAGCTTGTTTGAAACTCATATTATACTTGACCGCATGTAGCATGATTTAAAAAAGTTGTTATTATAGATAAATGGCAACCCTATCCAAAAATATATGTGAATTAAAGTATGTATTTTCAAAAACCTTTGCTGGGAGTACATAAACCTTGATACCCATATTGTGCTATTAAATAAGCTTAAACCATTAATAACCGTTATTGAATTTTTTAGTAAGGTGGCAACCCCGTAAAAAAATGTTTTAAATTTCTTCAAACGATTTTAGTTTAGTTGAAAAAACCTAATTTTTTAATTGACCTTTAAATAATTTTAAATTTTCAAATATATGGCAACCATATTTTTCAAAAATTTTTACCACATACCCACAGAAATAGTCGAACTGAATGAAAAAAAAAACAAATAAATACTTCCATTGAGCTGTTCTTGCGTTATGTGGTCAATATAAAATAACAAATTTTTGTATATAACAGATACGGTTATCGGTTATTAAAACACACTTTGCAAACTTTTGAAGTTAAATAAGCATCAAGTGTAATTGTTTTAAGACTTATGAAGGGAAATGGTCTAATTCAATCAAAAAATAATTAGTTTTAACGATTTTATTGCAATTTTACGAAAAAATGTATTTTCCCCATGTAAAATGCATGGGAAACCGGTGGCACGGGTAAATATTAACCCTTTCGAAAATAAAAAACACGCCTTTCCTTATTTGTGATATTCTTCAGCTCTAGGGGGTGGCAGCAGGAAAAATCAAAAGTTTATTTTTCTATGTATTTTTGGACCACCCTAATGTACATGCAATGCATTCTTTGTGATAGTAAAGGAATATTTTGGAAAATTGTTTAACGAAGTTTGTGGTTAGACTCTAAAGGGAATCTTACATATCGTTTAATCAAAAATATCATTTCAGACTGTCACGCAAGCCTTATCGCACGCTTTAACGCTAAGCATTAGTTATAAGAGTCCTTTCAAAGGCAACTGATGGCTCTGTAAATACGTACTATATATATGAAAAGTTTCGAAATGACATATAATATTAGTTATTGAATAATTTCTGCATAAAAGCTAAATGTTTTACTCTTTCGTGTACTTGCCATATTTCATTTTCATTATGAGTTTATTTTCATTCTCTGATAAAGCAGTGCACATCTTTTTTAACTTAGATAGACGAATCTGATTATTTTAACATGTTATTTTTCCAAGAAGCTTATAAAAACTCATATAATTCACATAAGTTCAGCTTAAGGTTTAACACTTTATTAAGCGCCAATTATAAAGCAACAATTTAGTGGGCATATGTATGTACTTACATACTTACATATATTTTATGTGAGCATGCTATTGTATAAACAGACTATAAAATATCGCTTTGCCACTTTGGGCAAATGTCAACGCAACTTGTTTACATGAGGAGACTTTGCAAAAGACAATTAATAATACGCGCGCACGCATAAGTAACTTATGTGATACATTCCGCACATTTGTCATACAGCATTACAATACAACGGTACATAAGCAAACACTTAAATTAGTCTCTCAAACCACAAACTCCGTTTAAATGCCATTTGTTCCTTGCTATTATTTAGTAGGATATATATATAATTACTAATTTTGATTTACGTGTTTATGTTTGCATGCAAAAACATTTAAAATGCTATAAAGGCGGGTTCTTATTCGCAGCTGCTTAAATCTTTAAAAACATTGAAATAATGTAGTACAATAAGGCACAAACTTTCGTTACAAATTAACATTGTTCAGCGCTTAAAAAATTGATTTTATTATTTAGGTATTACTATACTGTGTAGAATTGCGTAAAATGTCTTATCATTTACACATATCCATTAGCTGCATGTGTATAATAAATATGTATGTACTAAATTTGGAATTTCGAATTTCAAAAATAATGCCATGTTTGTGGAATAAGTAAACAATAGTTATAGAAATAATTTTAAGTTATCGTTTTAAAAATAAAGTAACTACTTGACGCATCACCAATACCATTCGCTACTCTATCGAACCTCTCTATAAATAGATTTGAGTTCGAAACAATTTGTAATTCGTAGTTTACACATTTTAAAAAGTATAACATATTTCAAATATTAGCTGATTGAGCACTTACAATTGCGTTGTAATGACAGATTTTCGTAGAATCGTTGGTTCTTTACCTTTTGGCGCTGAAACTACCTCCGATGACACTAGCCAAGGCGAGAGCATATCGTTGTGAGACGGTATATGTGTGACGGAATGATTATTCGGATGCTGCAAAACAAACAAAGAATCAAAAATAACTTAATGAGTACATAAAACATTATTTAAAAAAAAAAAAAAAATAATAAACCCAAATTACGAAAATAAACACAAAACATAAATCGAAAACAAAAGACAAAAATGGTTCAGCATGCAAAACCCCTACACCGTAGCAAATGCCCAAGTAAACAAATCCAAACCTTATTTTCAAATTCTTTTTTCGTTGGTATTTGAGCATCAGTTTCGCTTCGCTCTTGCTCATTATTCGCATCATTCGACGCCAGCTGCTGATGCTGCTGCCGCTCTTGTTCACGTAAAGTGGAAAAAAGTGTGGTGCCAGCGGATGGCTTATTCGCCGACTTTTGTTGGTTGCGCCCATCGATATTATACAACTCCGTTTCCTGATTAGTTCCAGCCGTACTAGCGGAGGCTTTCTTATCATTTGTTGTACGCGCGTTATTATTGATTATGTTATTAATGAAAATTTCATTTATCAATCGTTCGGCAGCTGAGGCATTAGCAGCAGCTGTAGAGTTGAATGTATGCGTGGGCGTAGACGGTGGTGTGGTTATTGTGGAAATAGGTGTTGTAGGCGTAGTGGGTGTCAATAAGCTATCACCTTCTTTTGTTGAGTCATTCCCCTTTCTAACTGTAAATGTTTCGTTAACATTCGTTAAGCTTGTAGGACTTGCTGCTGCTGCTGTGGTGAAAATCGAGTTGTTATATGAATTGTTGTACGAGGATGACAAGGAAGGGCTCATGGAATTAAAATCGGATATAAAAGTTGCATTCGAAAACGGTGATATTGTTGTTTTTGAGGCAGATATCTTCTTCGCCGATGATGTTGTGGTAGGGGGTAAAGCGGCAGCATCCGTAGAGCAATTATTAGACACACCAGCGTCAGTGTTGCCACTACCCACTGTAGCAACAACTCCGCTGGATATTGTTGTGGTACTCGTTGGCTTCTGTTCGGTTATGCTCAAAGTTAGTTTATCACCGCCCTAGACACAACACAAAAATGGTAACACAAGCAATGTATGTAAACACAAAAAACAAAAGCGACAGACAAATTAAACATAAATTTTAAGACGAATTAATTTTATTGTTATGAATGGTAAAATTAAACAAATAATAAATAAACAATAGTAAAATTTGTACATAAAGTTAATACCGCCGTTAAAAACGCATACAAGCATATTGTGACAGAATTCAAAATAAAATAATTACNAATAATAAATAAACAATAGTAAAATTTGTACATAAAGTTAATACCGCCGATAAAAACGCATACAAGCATATTGTGACAGAATTCAAAATAAAATAATTACAAACTCACCACAGAAATGTAGGTGGCATTCAGTGAGTCAGGACCATCGCTGTTGTAAGTTGTGTTATTGTTCGAACTAATACTGCTGAATATGCTGTTGTTGTTGTTGTGCTGCACCGTACTGGGAGCAGGCACAAACATTTGATTTGTCATCTTAGCATTCGTATTGACATTAGAGAGCGCACTGGTGCCAAGTTCTTCCTCTACGCGCGCTGTAAAAATGAATTTGATTAATGCAGAACAACAAACAAAACATGGTAAAATGTTTAAACCTATTCATATTCATGATACTTATATATAAGTTTTAGATTTACATAAAATTATATCGCTAACATACCTTTCAAAATATTGCACTTTATGTGACCCGGTGGCAAGGCGCCTCCACTAACATTTGCCAGCTTTACTTGATTATTCGGTTTATCCGAATTCGAAAGGCGTTTCAATGTTTCCGTATTATGCTCCATATCGAAAGTTTTATTAATGGTAACCCTAGGAAATAATTTAACAGGATTAATGTTTATATAATTTTCCTAAAATTCAACTGTTAAAATGAAGCACATTAAAAAAAGGTGGCTCTACCTGATACTGTTAGCATCATTAATAGCTTCAGTTGCTAGTATAGATGGGGATGGATCTTTAACAATGGACTTAAGTAATGAATCTAGCTCTTTATCTTTATCCGATAAGGCACTTCTAATGCTGCATAACGAGATAAATGTAAAATTAGTATGTATAGACACTTAGCTACAAACAAAAAGCTTATTTACTAAACAATAATTCAGTAATGCAACTTGCAGTGTACACTCAAGAGAAAAACATTTACAGCAGTTAAATAGTACGATTTGATCAAACAATATGAAATAGTAGTATGCAATAAATTTCAAGCGTTTATACAGAAATATACTTATTGACAGAAAATTTGTTTATTTAAAAGGCGCAATGACATAAAATTAGTAAGCAAACATTTATAAGAATTACCTGAAACCTGAACTAATGGAAGCTTTGCCAAAGGAGCCGTGGTGCGAGGAAGCATTATTTCTAAATGGATTGGTATCATCTGCATTTTTCGTCGTGCTTGTTGGATAAACGCTGCTGGCTGTACCATTAGTTTCACCATCCAGTCTAAAAAGCATTTTTTTTTTTAATTACTTTACCACTTAAAAAATATGGGCATACATACTTTACAGTCAAGCCTTCTTTATTACAACAATCAAGTTTACTATAGCCGCCGTCTTCGCCGCTTGAGTCCGATCGCATAGAATTTCGGCGCAGAGTACCAGTATTGCTTCGCGCTGCAACTGTGCTGCATGTAGCTGAATCATTTAGTACTTCTGCATTGTAGATGACTGTTTGTATGGATGGCGAGGGTGTAGCAGCATTTGAAGGTTGCTGTGTTGTCGAAGTATTCGTTAGTATAGAATCGATAGTAGTATTGATTGGTTCGTTTGCAGCAGCGGCTGCTGCTGCCGCTCGCGCATTTACAGCTGCAACAGCTGAAGCAGCAGCTTCTTGTGAAGCTTTTTGTCGCTCTCGTAGCAAATGAGATTGGCGGCTGGCGAAACGTTGGGATGGACGTCGTTCGAATTGTACAGTGCGACGAGCACGACTCTGTTGTGTGGTTTGGAATTCTGTGCGACCGGAGTAGCGGAAACGCGAACCCATACGGAAGAAATTCTGACGTGCCGATGGACCCTTAACAGGTGCGCGCAAACGGAAGAACGTATGGTGTTCCACAGCACATTTCCATAAATGCTTGCAAGCCTTCTCGTTATACAAGCGAAAAACAAATGTATGCTCTTGCTCGCGACCTTCATCATCATCTTCAATAACGATGAGCGTAAGCTTCTTCTTTTTGAAATCCAATTTACTTATCTTAGGCCAGAAGAACAGGCCTATTTTCTGATCACGTTCAAAAACCAAAATCCCTGTTGGTGTCAGACCAAGGTGATACTCGCAACCGTCTTTACCCTGCATAATAAGTTGTTTTTCAGTGCACTTGTAGCATTATTAAGATGGAATTGCTTACCAAGACCGTGTGCATATCAACGCCGTACATATCCAACCATTTAGCTTTGTTTAAGTATGCTGTTTCAGCTTGAGCAGGTGTCAGACCACGACATGTTTTATATTCATCCAATATGGCGATTTCAAGATCCTCAGTCTGCTCAGGAACAAAACGAAATTCCGAGACAGTGGCTGCTGTATGAACTTGGTCATCGTAGTCACCAAGTTCCGCTAAAGAAGATTATTATTATTGAATACATATATTGCGAAACAATTTTTCTTCAAATTTTGTTCATACATTGCAATGCGAGCGCACACAGTTCAGCTGCTTTATCATCGGGACAATCTAAACGACCTTCTAAAAGATCTTGTTTCAATTGTAGGAAGAATAAATAGCGTGTTAACTCTTCACGTAACGTATTCGGCTCAGATGAGTAAAATTTAACTTTCATGCGGAATGTGTATGGTGGACCAACTAAAAAAATATGTTTAACATTAAATTATTAATTGCACGATAATTTAAAGAAGGTTTACTCACTTTTTACTTGCTTTTTAATAGGTTTTGTTGGATCCAGCCAGTGTTTAACGTGGTTAGCATCTGTGAACTGCAAACCAAAATAGTCTTTTTCAATTACATCTAGGGCGTAGAATACTTGCTCGTACAGGAAGCTGCCCAGCGCTTTTTTCTGTCAAGATAGACATAAATATTTTTAAAACAAGCACATGTAGATATGTACTCGTATGTACCTATATCAAATGAATGTAGTATGTACCGGGATGGCAAAAGGCTTTGTCTTAGCCAAATATATCTACAAATTATGTAGATTCAATAAATTTTATGTACAAAAAGTTTTGAAAGGTTAACAAATTTTAATTACATACCTACGTACTTTATCATTCATTATTCAATCTAATTTCGACGTGGTTTTAATACATGCATATACATTTACATACAATGCTACAATCGATAAATTAAATTTGTTCATCAAGTAATTACTTAGAACACGATTTTTTGCCAAGTTGATCAACTTTTAATGATAGAATGAGAAAAAAGTAACAAATATACAACGGCCTAGTGCTACTAATCGCATAATTTGATTAATGCTTCTACCACATCCTCCACATTAATACGAAGTCGTATTCGCATACTTTCTCTTTTCCGTTCTAAATCTACATTGAAGTCTTGTTGTTGTTGTTGTTGTAGCAGCATACAAATTCCCCAAAGACTTTTTGGGGAGTGTTGCTGGAGTGACAGTCCTTGGCCAGATATAAATCTGGGTCGTTCCGGTTACGTAAACCCGACTGTCGTGGGAACGATTGAAGTCTTGTAAAACATTTTGCTGTGCATGCCTAGTCCGGCATCTGACGGATGCCATCCGAACGAATGTAACCATTCGCAGTTACCTGTTATGACAGTGTGAATCGGATTTGATTCGTTCGAATGGCATCCGTCGAATTCCGGAATAGGCATAATTCTTTGGAGTTTCAACACATACATACATACATATTCATGCTCACCGATAATTCTATGGAGAGATCCGTATTGTCCAGCAGCACCACGCGACATTCGATTTTATTTTTATTTACTGGCATGCGGTGCGGTTTAATTTGCGTACCACCACTATTAGTCGCATTCGGAGCACCTGCACCGCCAGGCACGCCGCCTCTGCTCTCCACATAGTTGCTACGCACCTTCCTGCGACTAAGAAAGCGTAACATTTCCCGGCAGTATGAGTTAAATTAAAAGGAGCATTCATTCAACCACTTAAACACCTTTCACTTCTTTCCACCCGCGACGATTTTTAATCATCTATGTACTTCGCGAACATGCAGTCAGTGCAGCCGCTTTTGGAACTTGAGTCTGTATCCTATTTCTAGGTGGCGTCGGAACTAGTGTTGAGCAGTAATTCCAGCTTCAAGCCAGCGCTAGGATCACATACAGCAACTAAACCACCGCCCCCGCCCCAAACGGATGAACTTGCTCCTTTTCCACTGTTTGCTGAGTAGCAATTTAGTTGCAGACTTCGCCTGCGATCACCACAAAATCGAATCACAAGTTTTCTAAGCTCTTTACACCGTTTTATTTGACGTGTATGCCCGTTTTTTTCTCCACTACAAAATCAACCACTCCTCATCCAAGAACATGGTAACTTTTCTTCTTGAATTTTAGACACAACAACAAAACAAGTTTCACAGGTTGTCCATGCAAGGCCGCAAATAAAACGTAACGAAACCGATCAAGGCAAACCGAATTTGCTTTAAAGTTGTATAGCGCTATTAAAACAAAACATTTAGCTATACGAAGTGCACTTTACATGCAGAAAAAAGATGAAATTACCAAAATTATTTTAATCGAAAAAGCCAACAGCACATAATGCCAAGAAGAAAAAACGCAGAGTTGCAATCCAACTTTAAGCAATGCTACCAATTTGAGCAGTCAAATGCCAGTGTAGCCATTAAACAAAAGCAGAATATTACCCAACCGACGTTAGCAACCCATTTGTGAAAATGTTAAGATTTTTGTATTGCAATCGATAGTTCGTCGATTGTTCTTTAATTTTCGTCCATTTTTAACGTTTGTTCGTTTGCCAAAAATTTATAATTCATTTTTCAATTTTCGCTTTACGTAATTCCTGAAGTTAGCACCCGCAACAGACTATTTTGGGTTAATTATTATTGCAATCGATAGTTCGACGTTTGTTCTTCATTGTTCGTCCATTTTTAACGTTGGTTCCTAAGCCAAACATTTATAATTATTTTTTTACATTTTACAGTTCCTGCCTTTAGCACCCCAAATGTAAGGATTTCATTATTCTCATTTGTTAAATGTTAAAATTCTATATCAAAATCTGTATTAATCAACGCAAATTAAAAAAAAAAAATTCAAAAATTAAGCCAATTAACGAAATGGCTGTCAAAATTCCATAGTTTTTTAACAGATTTAAACAAACAAATAAACCGCCAAAATATCATCAAAAATTAACGGTAAGTCTTAGGGTGCGTTCGCAAAGTAAGTAGGGCCAGCCGAGCGGAGCTGTTCCGAGTTTTCGAGGGTTTTTTTGACTAGGTATATTTTCATTCGTAAAATGTCGCGGAAAAAGGAGATTCAAGCTTTGCAGGCTAAATTTGTATTTGCCACCAAAACAAACGAGGTTGCTACTTTGAACAATTCTGCGAAATGAGAAAATACCAGTCAAACTACAAGCATGTGAGAGCTCGCTAACTGCTCGGCATTCGAGAATAAGTATGATTCGTACTTAATGCGGTCTACACGTGCGGGATCTCTCATGCGTCCTCACGCGAGCGAGATTTTCAGGCATCTAAAGACAGCCGGTCAGTTTTGTGATATCTTTACAGCCGATTCCAGGCAAAACGCTCCGCTCTGCTTGCTACAGTGTGAACCTCTGTAGCTCCGCTCCACTCTTCCTTACTTCTGTCGGCACCACTCTGCATTCTGTGTGAACGCTACTTAAAAATTGCACGAAACTTGTTGTCCCTTCTAATAGATTTAAGTACGTTCTTTGTATTCAGGTGTTTTGTTTTTCATACCCGAGCGCACTTGTGCATAAGGGTATTATAACTTTGTTCACATAACGGCTGTTTGTAACAGACAAAACTAAATCGACTAAAGTTGTTTCTACGGAATCTGGAACTATCAGTGTGCTGGTATTTAAGACTTTAATCCTCAACATACGAACACCCTGGCCTTGTAAGGGAACTCGAGAATAATCTCCCTGCCATCAAAGAAAAGCTTTAAAAAAAAAAATCGACTAAAGCTGAAATTAGTCAAGAACGTAAACCTACCGGTACATAAACCCGAGTCAGCTGACACGATCTGTCTTACCAAAGCGCCATGTAAATGAAAACTCAACACCGCAGAATTTTTCTGTAGTTGTAGCCCGTAGCGCAGAAATCTGCGGAATTTAGATTTTTCCGTGTCAGCTGATTTCTCCTTCTTTAGATGGTTGCCACTTCGTCAGTTTTACAGATGGTAAAAAAGATATAAGTTCCTATTCAAAATATGTTTAAAATATTTGAAATTTACTATTGAATAAGGTTTTTGTTGAAAACTAAGTAGTTTATATTTAGCTAAAATCTATTATAGCACGAAAAATTGTAGTTGAAAGGGTAAGTTTATGAAAAGGCATTGATGAGTGGCAACAGTGTAGTAAGCAACACTGAGGGCTCCAGTAATCGACAAAATTCTGCGTATACAGACTGCGTTTAAGTATACGTTCTGCGTTCTCGACTAATTTCAGCTTAAGCGGTTGATGTTACTATGTTTATACGCACGTATTATTTGCAAATCAAAATTTGCAAAATGGTAAACTTTGCCGTATAAACGCTGTGTTAATTTTTTATTTGCAAATAACTAAATCACGCAAATAAGTATTGACTAGTGGTACTATGTGCAAATAAGCTCAAGACGCCGCCATTCTTTGGTTTATTTTCTTTTTCGATGGTCATATTATTGCCGTTTTATAATCAAGCAACATTAAAAAATAATTTTTCATCATCGAATAAACAGTGAGTTAGATATTTGCAAATTATTTTTATTTGCAAATAGCTTACGTATGAACGTAGTATGTTTATCCGTCTGTCCGTCTGTGCACACGATAACTCGAGTAAAAATTGAGACTTGGTACGTATTCTTCTTTTGAGCGTAGGACGGATGGTATTGAAAATGGGTAAAACCGGATAATAACCACACCTACCTCCCATATACCGGTTGTTTTCAGAAATAAGAAAACTGCGATATTTTAGTAACTGCTGAATCTTGTTCACCCAAAATTGATATTTACATTGATTTTTAGACGAAAAATAAGATTATAAATTTCTGGAAAATAGGCGTAGCCATGCCTACTTATGAATATATGTGTATATCTTGGAAACCCCTCCACCAGTTTCTCCCGAAGTTGGCGCAACTGTTGGACTTAATATGAAATATCAAACGGCTGAAAAGTTTTAAAATCGGCAATAACCACGCCCACATCCCATATAACGGTAATTTTCAGATATACGAAATCTTCAATAAATCAGTAAATACTGAAGCTAATGTACTCAAAATTGATGTTTGCAATAATTCTTTCGCACAAAAAACGTTGATGAAAACATTTTGAAAAAATGGGCGTGGGACGACTTTATCGATAAATGTGCGTAAAACGGCGTTATTTGCTCAGCTGCTAGGTTAATGGGGGGAAATGGCAACACTGTACTTATTTCCGACGAAGGAAAAAAGAAAAACACAATAGCGATTTTTGCAGATGCTAGAGCTGGGATACTATCTATAGTACCGCCACTCGATAGATTTCGAAACGATAGTTGAAAACATCGATAGTATCGATAGTACTATCGTCGTGAGAGGTATTGAATTGAAGTACTAAATTGCTTAAAAATTAAATAATTAATAAATTTATAAAATTTATAAATTACTTTGTAAATTAAAGAGATTATATAAAATTGTTTAAATTTGAGTGCATCAAAAAGAACTTCTTATAAGAATAAAGTAAACTTATTAATTTATGCGTCTGAATTATATATGTATATACTTATATACATATACTTGCATCCACTTGAATAGCGACAGGCAAAATCTGAATTTATTTTTTATATGGAAAAATTAATTTCGGATTTTATTTGTCCCTTTTAAAGTGCAGAGAAGAGAAATTGGCTATAATAATATATTTCTAGTACTACAAAACAAACAAAACAAAATGTATTCGTTTAAATTAATAACTCATACTTATAAAAGTTCAACTGAGATCAAATACGGAGGCGCATATCAAAATCCGGACAAAGAAAAATTTTAACATTTTACCATATTATAAGAAAACGAATAAAGTATTGGTCAAAATAACAGCACCACAACATTTTTAGCAGTCTTGGCTATGTTGTTGTTGGTTTAGTGTCTTATAATTTTTTATAAAAGTTGTACAAAACATAAAAATATACAAAATCATTAAAATTTTAAGCTTTTTAATTCGAATTTCTATACAAATTTTGTGTAAGCGGCTTTATAGCTTATTAAATTTTACTATAACTCAGTGTAAGCTTATAGTTGCTAAAAATTCCAATAACTAAAATTTTTTTTGGCGACTGTATTGTTAATTTTCTTGGATAAAAAAGACAATAATTGAGGAATTCACAACGGCGTCGTAAGTGTCGTATTGTTGTATGTTGTTAACTTTAAAAGCTTATATAAATGCTTAGAGAACTTGAAACCACAGCCAACTATTTTAAACACTGGGGAAATGCATAATATGACTTTGAAGGTACTTTTCGAACCCAGTTAACACATTTTTAGACGTTTAATTGACGACATACAACAATATAATACCCAAACAATAGAATACCCCAAATGTAATGTTAAGAGATGTAAAGAATAGAGAAGTTTCGGTAAAGCCGACATCGATAGTTTTCAAAAACTATCGATAGTGCCGACAGTTTTCAACTATCGATACTATCGATAGTATGCCAGCTCTAGTGGATGCATCGAAAAATATTTCATTATCTTTGGTAAAGTATTTGGTGATCCCCTAGTGGAATTAATTTGTAGACTTATCTGCTAAAATAAAGAAAACTGAAATTAAGCAATTACATAGACACAAGGAGTGCGAAAGTTTTTTCGGGGTCGACGAAACTCGTAGCACCAAATATTGAAAAGGTGAAACGTCAATCACGATGAATTTGGTGGAGATAAATCCATACGGAAATGGGTTACTGTATGTTGGATTTAACCAAGATCAAGGTAAATATAAATAAATGCGTAATTTCACTTCGAATTTTCCTCAAGATTTGTATATTTTACAGGTTGTTTCGCTTGCGCCACAGATACTGGATTTCGTGTTTACAATTGTGATCCGTTAAAGGAAAAAGAACGTCAATATTTTCCCGAAGGTGGTTTATGCCATGTAGAGATGCTTTTTCGTTGTAACTACTTAGCTCTTGTGGGTGGCGGTATACGTCCCTTGTATCCACCAAACAAAGTAATCGTGTGGGATGATTTAAAAAAATCTCCAGCGATTTCAATAGACTTCAATCAACCTGTAAAAGCTGTGCGATTACGACGCGATCGTATTGTCGTTGTCCTAGAGGGTGTGATTAAAGTATTTACATTCACACAACAACCACAGCAGCTACATGTCTTTGAGACAAGCGCAAATCCACACGGATTGTGTGTGCTTTGTCCACATAGCAATAAAAGTCTCCTAGCTTTTCCAGGACGACGCACCGGTCACGTCCAGATTGTCGATTTAGCAAACACAGAGCGCGCTCCGCTAGAAGTTGTCGCTCATGAGGCATCAATAAGTTGCATTGCATTAAATTTGCAAGGAACCCGCCTTGCTACCGCCAGCGAAAAGGGTACATTAATACGTATATTTGATACGGAGAATGGCAAAAAGCTTTGCG